AGCTCCAACAACTCAACCTCACGGTCATTCAGAATATCTTCTTCTCTGAAAGTTGCAATTATCTCATTCCAAATCAAGGCAAATTTGTTAGCCTCTACCTGGTTTGATTCAAGCTTCTTGAATGGTCGACCAAAACCATATCTGAGTTTCAAACGGAGGATGGCGTCCTTGATCTTGCTCTTTAGAGTCCCTTGGGCATTCAGCAACTGTTCCTCTGGCATCAGATTAAACTGAATTGCACTTGCAAAAAATTGGAATCTCAACCTTAACTGTGGCATGTTCCGAATCTCGCCCAAGTGATCAAACAATCCAACCGCTGCCCCAACAAATGAAGAGTAGATTGAGTACCATATCTGAATATCCATAAGATAAATCAGGACAACCGGAAGCCAAAGCAATCCTACTGAGAACCTGTTGCTGTTGTTAAAGAACTCATGCCATTCGTACTTCACATCCCTGAGGCGCAACAGTGCTTTTGTTGGAACAATCATAGGTTTGATCTGTAGGAAGTAACTGAAGGAAAACTTGGTCGCAAGCACTACCACCCAAAAGAGGGAATACTTTATGTTGTCAACAAGGCCTTCCCTAAGCCCACGACCCACAAATGTCCGACTCTGGAACCACCATGATAACAGGTAAAATATCCTCCAGTTCATGTTCTCAAGAAAATTCCTGACCCATGGCAGAATAAAGAGTGCCAAAGCTAACAGTTCTGGAGCAACAAAAACAAAAGCAACCTCAAGAAAATTCACCACCCTCTTGTTAGCTGCGCNCGCGCTGGTCCAATCCCCATCATTATTCCTCTGTGTCCAAATCCTCCCATAGAATACCCCAAAAACCACAATCCACCCTGCAGCAACCACGATCTTCAACACCATTCTCACCCCATGCCATGGGGTCTCCCTCGAAACAATACTATATTGCATTCCTGCATCAAGCAGTGACTGCAAAAGCCTCATCCCACTCCACGTGAAGAATACTGTTAACACCCTCACCTGAACCTCCCTCCTCTCCAACGCCTGCCACGGATACCCCCTCTGCTCCCAAGCTACAATGATCGCAGCCTGCAAGAACAATGCTAGCATGATCCATAATTTATCAAAGCTCCTATACAAATTCAAAAATGATCTCTGCTCCACAAACCCCGTCTTTCCCACCTTCTTGCCCTTGTTAGTAGTCACAAAGAATGTACTCCCAGTATCAATAGGCCACTTCAACTTGTCAAAACACCTCTTACTCCAGAAATACTCATTAATATCATCATAGTTCCGCCACGCAGAGTGTGGGGCAGTACCATTCCGACTATTCTCAACCTCAGCTTTAATCGTATCGTAAATTGGCTTAACAATCCGATCCAGAAAAGCATTCTCACCAGAAATTGAAGGCAAAAACGGCCTACCAGTCATCTCATCGATATAATCCTCCAATATCTTATTCAGTTCCATCGCCATGTTATGAAAAATATAACTCAAACATTCAGGAACAAAACGCAGATTTGCAGACTCACCCCAGATAAGAAGGTAAAGTGAGACATAAAGCAACTCACGGCGGTGGTCGGAGGAATTATGGCGGTCGGAAAGCCAAACGTTGGATTTGAGACCGAGGAAAGAGCACCAGGAGGAGTAATTTTTAAGGAGTTGACGGCGGAATCGACGGAGGACGGCGGGGTCAAGTGAGTCAATGTTGTCAGGCGGCGGAGAGAGACGCATCTGAGCATTAGCGAGGTGAAGCACAATGTGTTCCCGCTGGTTACGAACGTTAGATTCCTGAAAGCCGAAGAAAAGGGCGAGCCAGTCAAGGAGGTCATAGTGAGGTTTCCAAGGCCTGAATGCAGGTCTACGTAGGTCGCCGACGGAACGTAAAGCAGCGGCGGCGGCGCGTACTTCGGGGAAACGGAGAGAAGGATGGTCAGCTAAGAGGTTATGGATTGGGATGATGTTGTAAGGTTCTTCATCTATAGTGACTTGTCTCGCCGCCGGCGGTGAACGCTGCCGGTGGCTCATTGTCGCATTCGCAGAGATCTAAGAAAAATCTCTATTTTTTGGGGTATGAGAAGCGGGGGGTTTTGGGGAAGAAGCTGGAAAAGGAACGAGCCCAGGAATGGAAAGTGGCGCGTGGCACTGCGCGTGGGGTTATGATTTCTTAAAATATTTTGAATCTAAGTCTAGTTTTAGTACTCGCAGGCGCAGCAAAAAGTCTTTTAAGTTTTAACGGTCCATGCCAGCTCAAATATCAAGATTGGAACGAGTAAAAGAAATACGGGGAGTACTAATCTTAATCCTTAAATTGTACCAGGTGCAGCGAAGATTGTACAATTCTTTGTTAGCTAATGTTGTTTTTTCTTAAGGGTGAAGACTTGTGAAACAGTTTGTAAATGTCTCAGAGCCCACAGAAATTGAACTCTTTCTAAAAGGAAAAGAACATTAAAGGAAAGGGAAAATTGAATAATTGAATTTCAACTTTTGCTTTTAGTCATTCATGGAATATTAGAAAGGCAAAAATCATTTTTTATTAAGATTGAAAGATACTGAAAATAATGGATAATGGGACCTCTCCCTGTTTGCTTTTAATTTTCTAAAGGTACTACTAATAATCTAGCATTTGCTACTTGTATGGTATATCTATATTTTGCTAATAATATAAATCTCCTCCCTTAGAGAAGGAGTAATACATATATTTCTATGAATAATGAAAAACAAGAATTTTTATTTGAGAAACATCTAATAGCCTGTTGGCCAAGCTTTTTTTCTTCTTGCAAAAAGTATTTTTTTTTTCTAAAATTAAGATGTTTGACCAAAATTTTTAGGAAAAAATATTTTTGAGTATAAGCAAAAAAAATAGTTTTTTGGCAAAGACTTTTTTGAAAAATACTTTTAAGAAAGATATATTTAGAAAAACTTTTTAAAAGTTTGGTCAAACATTAATTGTTGCTCAATAGTTATTTTTTAAATTAATTAGTCAAATACAAATTGCTTTTCACCAAAATTACTTTTGAAAAGGCATCTTTGGAAAAAAGAAAAAAAGTTGAAAAAATAATTTTAAAAATAAACTGATTTTTGAAGCTTGTGCAGAGAAGCTATAATTGCAAGTAGATGCAATTGCAAACAAAGGGTTCGCTTATGGCTGTCCAACGGGATGAGACGGGACGAGACGAAATTAACGGGACGGGACGAAACGGCTGTCCCATCCCGTCCCGCTAACAAACGGGACAGGACGAAACGGGATGAAACAGTCGTCCCATCTCGTCCCGCTAACAAACGGGATGGGACGGGACGGGTTCTGGGCCTTAAGTGTATTTTTTTGATAAAAAAAAAAGGTCTAGTTTTTTTGAAAATTACTATGTTTTTAAAGTTTGCAACGGCTAAATTTTTGACTTATTTAATAAACTTAAATGTTATTATGTTAAAACAAAAATTAGAAAACTAAGTAAAGAATTATAAAATATTAAAACAAAAGACTTGTAATAAAATATTCTAGTAATTGTAAATTTATAATAGAGGTATAATTTATTTAATATAATTTCAAAGTATTAACTATTAAGTAACTAAGACAATTCATAAAAAAAAAAAAATCAACGCTTAGAGCCTTTTATTTTATTAATGGAACTTTCAAATCTCAAATACAAATATAATTCTTTTGAAGAGCGCATAATCTACGCATCCACCTTCTAGGAAGGGTTCTGTTTGAACTAGGCCTCTTAGTAGACAATTACAAATTATCATACTAATATTTGTAAGCTCCTATATAGCTTCTTTGTAACTTATCAATAATATCTCTCGGACATTCTATTGGAATTGACAATGTTGATTGATGTTCCATGAGCTCCATGTCGTCATCGCTCCCAGTGCTAAGTAGCTCCTATATTACAATGTTGATTGATATTCCATGAGCTCCATTGCACTTCTTAGTTTTAAAGATGGGTTAAGTAGAGTAGAAATTAAATAAACTTCGGCTAGCATTGAAGAAGAAAAAAAATTGGCGGGACGCGGGACGGGACAAATGGGACGAAATGGTCGTCCCTTCTCATCCCGTGTCCCGTTTAACATTGGCTCATCCCGTTTAACTTGGGGCGGGGCGGGACGGGACGGGACGGGACTCGGGACGGCCCGTCCCGTTGGACAGCCTTAGGTTCGCTTTCAAACTTGTCGAGTTTCAAGTTTGAAAAGCCAATAGTTTAGCCATATTTTACTTGAAATCGGGACAGATTTGGTGCCATTATAGGATGTGAACATGAGACAGCCAATATAGTCAATCTGAATGATCATTAAATATTCGTAATTTCCCATTCATGCTAGCGTTTCTTCTCGGAAACAATTGCCAATTTGCCATGTTGATGTTTATTAGTTTCTCCTTGACAAGTGAGTAATTTCTATAATTTCTTTAACGTCAACTAATATTAAATTGTCAATTCGTATTGATGGAAGAATACCGGAAGTATCCTATCCAAAAGATAAATGGATCATTAATAATAAAATTTTTACTAAATCAGGTGAAAATTAAATAAAAATGGCATAATAAAATCATAAAAACTCATATTTTTCTATGACAATTATATATGAGTAATTATTACAAGAAGCTAATAAAGTTAAAATAGAAAAAGTGGCATTTTTATTTAGTATATTTACTAATTAAAGGCATGCTAGCCTTCTTAAATTCCGGTGCTGCTAAGAAACTGCCCATAATTAATACCATCCTCCTAATTTTAGATGGTCCCTTGTATGAGATCATGAAATGGAATCATATGGTAATTCATTTTCATATACCTTTATGCACAGTTATGGAATTATCTTATTTTGCATTATAAAAGTCATCGTTCAAGCAATTACTACACATTAAAACGCGTAACTTTGGATAACATGCACGAATTTATGTTGACGTCTTTATCAATGGACATAGCATATGAGGTTCTGACTAATACAGATTTATTATACTATATTATTATTATTTTTTATTGTTTTATCCAATTGTGTCCTAAACGGGAGCTTTGCAGCAACGGTAAAGTTGTCTTTATGCGATTTATAGGTTATAGGTTCGAGTCGTAGAAGCAATCACTAATACTTGCACTAAAATAACTATTTACATCACACACCCTGAGGTATGACTCCCTCAACTCTGAAGGAATACGGGATGTTTTATGTACTAAGCTACCTTTTATTACAATTGTTTTTTTTCCCAACATATTACAGTTGTGTCCTAGTTAATTTGTGTGTGTAACTATTCCACGAACACTTGATACCTCTATATAGGGTAAAATTAATTTATATTAAATGAAGGAATAATTGCGTGACACGTGGAACCGAAGACAGATAGAAGATGAATCGCGTAAGAATCGAGACCGGAGATGTACCGACCCGCCCGGTCGTTTCATGAGTTACAGCCCTGTTTTCCCTATTTCTGCTTCATTATGTGTTGTTCAACTGTATTTCAGCGTATCGTGTTGGTTGGTTCGGGTTCGGAGTGGTTATGGAGTGAAATGAGACACTTAGTCTCTAATTTAGGAGCTTAAGTTGGAAAATTCAACCGGATGTTGACTTATGTGTAGAAGGTCTCGGATGTAAATTCTGATGGGTCGAATAACTCTGTTAGGTGATTTTGGACTTAGAAGCGTGTTCGGAATGTAATTTGGAAGCCCGTGGTAGAATTAGGCTTGACTTGGCGAAATTGAAAATTTGGAGTTTTCGGCTGGCAGTGAAAATCTTGATATCGGGGTCGGAATGGAATTTCGGAAATTGGAGTAGGTCCGTAGTGTCATTTGTGACGTGTTTGCAAAATTTTAGGTCATTCTGAGGTGATTTGGTATGTTTCGGCATTGTTTGCGGAATTTGGACGTTTAGGGGTTCTTAGGCTTGAATCCGAGGGTGTTTTGATGTCGTTTTGGGTGTTCCGAAGGGTCGACTAAATTTGAATGATGATATGTGACTTATTGGTATCCTTGGTGGAGGTCCTGAGGGCCTCGGATGTGATTCGAATAGTTGACGGATTGGTTTTTGAAGTTTGAGAGTTGATGAAATTGCTGGTGTGCTTCAGCTGGCATAACCGCACCTGTGGGGTGGGGCCAAAATCATCAAAATCGGACCTCAAATGGTCCCTCAAATCTCCAATTTCAAGCTCGAATCCTCCAAATTTCTTCCCAAATGTTTCACTAACATGATTAAACAATGAAAAAAATGATCATAACCACAAGTAATAAAGCTTAAGTAGCATACTCAACCGATAATCCTCGATTCCCTCTTGAAATCACAGCCCTAAGCTCCAAGCTTGTCCAAAAATGGTGAAGACATGGCAGAAATTCGCGAAGGGGCCTTATATACCTTCTGCCCAGCACTTCTGTTAGTTTGTATGAGTCCACCAAACCGTAGAGTACCTGGTCCTCTACAAGATTCTACTAAGAATGCTAATAAAACAGTACGTAAATAAGGCAGAGTATTTTTACGTGGAAAAATCTCACACAAGCGGATCAAAAAACCACGACCTACACCTGTAGGCTTTTAACTTCACTAACTTGTAAAGAACCTATTACAAGCCATTTTGCAATGACTCCTATTGCAAAGGATTTACTCAACTAACTTATGGTACTCTTACCACAAGCCAATTTGTGACTTCCTAGTTACAAAGGCTTTTTCTAACTTGTGATGCTCTCACCACAAGCCACTTTGTAACTCTACAATTACAAAGATTGAACTTATGACTATCCCTAGTCACAACATAAACTCAATGAGTTTACGGATTTACAAGAGGATTCCTAATCAAACGCTTCTAGGTAAGCAGTTTAGGAGATACAATAAGTACAATAACAAGGTTACAATTCAACTAGGACAACAACAAGCTATCTTTTAGGAACTGGTCCGTAGTTGCGTTCAACCTTGTTCTTCAAGCTTGTAAGGATTGATTTCTCTATTTTTGCAAGAAGCTTGAATAAGAAACAGAAACCTTCAAGTGATGTTTTGTATAAAACTCATTGTAGGTATATCTTGATCACATCACTTGAAATGATGTGAGTACTTTATTTGGTTAGAAAATGAGTAGGCGCTGGAGACAGTGCAGTGCAGCAGAAACAGTGCCATCAGGTACTTCATTTCCAGTTGTGTCCAATTGACTTTGTACTTCTATGAGGAAACTACAAGAGTATCAGGTCCTTGTGTGGGTTCCTAGCTCCTAAAGCTGTAGCAGTTCACCTTTAGCTGGAATCCGTTAAAGCTTGCAGTAGTCCAAGTAGGTGAGGTTCCTTATCTGGTTTTTAACAGTAAGTTTGTAAGATCATCAAAACA